AGCTGTGGGGGTTACATGAAAACATGTCTAAAAGAGTGAAGACGAGCTGGCGAAAATTGAACAAGTACACCAGTTTGTAGAAAATTGGTTGCTCCACAAAATGCATTTTAAATTCGAAACTATTCTAAGTAATCTGTATTAATCAAAGAAAACTCAACAAAAACGCGAACTTAAAAAGCCATGACATTTTGTAGAGCAACCAATTTTCTACAAACTGGTGTACTTGTTCATTTTTTGCCAGCTCGTCTTCATTCTTTTAGACATGTTTTTCAGATAACACCCAGATCGATGTTTTGGGTTGTTTGTACAACAGTTGTAGTTTCATAACATATCGACGTTCAGAGTCGAGACGCAGTTTATTTTGTAGAGAAATGTATCTATAGTTGCAATTTTAGATTAGTTTGTACTTTTATTGAAATAAATTTTTAACGTAGATGACGAATATTACATTTACTTTTATGTAAAGAAGTTTTTCGGGAAATTCGACAAATACAGTTCAAAATGTGCCTGTTTTCTCAAGTTTGATGCATTAAGACATGATGAAAAGGGTATATTTAGAAAGAACACATAGAACTACCCGGTGAGGTGAGTGTGGGAATCGCCTTCTGAATTCCCGTGACAACCCACTTACGCCATCTTGTAGAGCAAGACAACTGCACTAGCACATTTTCTTTCCCAGTGTCGAGATCCAATTGGAATCCAACCCTCTAGGCCAAACTTCACCTCTTAATGATGCCGATTTGTAGAGAATTATCTATACATTGTGTTTCGAATGCTGAGTTACATAATCACCTACTCATTGTGTTTGATGTAAATCTTCTTTTTTCAGCTGTATGGATAAGTACTGGTAGCATGAATACTGCACGAACAGGTCATAGTGCATCTGTATTATTAAATGGACAAGTGTTAGTTGCTGGTGGAACTAGCAGTAATGGCCGAACTTTGTTTTATGTAAACAGTTCTGAGTTATATAATTCATCAACAGGAGTCTGGACCACTACTGGTAGCATGAATATCGCACGAACATCTCATACAGCATCCGTAATATCAGGTGGAAAAGTGTTAGTTGCTGGTGGAAGTGACCAGAATTCTGCTGTTTCAAATAGTTCTGAGCTGTACGATCCGTCAACAGGAGCCTGGACAACTACTGGTAGCATGAATATCGCACGATCAGGTCATACAGCATCAGTAATATCAGGTGGAAAAGTGTTAGTTGCTGGTGGAAATGACCAGAATTATATTGTTATAAATAGTTCTCAGTTATATGATCCATCAACAGGAGCGTGGACAACCACTGGTAGCATGCATACCGTACGAAAAGTGCATACTGCATCCGTATTATTAAATGGACAAGTGTTAGTTGCTGGTGGATCTAACAGTAATAGTATTTTAAGCAGTTCTGAGTTATATGATCCATCAACAGGAACCTGGACAACCACTGGTAGCATGAATACCGTACGAAAAGTGCATACTGCATCCGTATTATTAAATGGACATGTGTTAGTTGCTGGTGGATCTAACAGTAATGATGATTTAAGTAGTTCTGAGTTATTTGATCCATCAACAGGAGTCTGGACAACTACTGGTAGCATGAATGTCCCAAGATACTTGCATACTGCATCCGTATTATTAAATGGACAAGTGTTAGTTATTTCTAGTGGAAATGCCGCTGTCCCTTCAAATACCACTGAATTATATGATCCATCATCAGGAGTTTGGACAACCGCTGGTAGCATGAATTATGGCCGATATATGTATGCAGCAGCCGTATTAGCAAATGGACATGTGTTAGTTAGTGGTAGCTACGGTCGTCCTAATGTTTTATCGAGTGCAGAACTATATTGATCGTGAGATACAGCATAGAATTTTCTCTCGTACACTAAAAACATGAAATTTCGCTTTCATTATTATCATCTTTTATTGTCAGAATGCGGGCAACATCTTCGTCGACCAATATTTGATAATATAACTCCATTGTTCTGAATTTTAATGATTTATCACCCCTGCTTATGGGTTAGGAGAACGTCTGAAGACTTTCCGACTCTTAGATTAAATAGCGTGCCGCTCACTGTGCTCACTATATACCGTAATATATTAAAAAATAATAATTTTCTAACGATTATTTTCGCATGTTAATTCGACAGTGCTAGTTCGAAGCATCGAAGAGTTTGTTTTTGTTTCTAAGAAATACCGAGAAAGTCTATGTTTCTAGTGACTACCGCAAAATGTCGTTTGTCTTGGATGTTGATTTGTTTGATTAATACAACCATTACGATTTTCTGGTCCTTCTGTGAACGGTCCATGTTTATTACAATGAGCTGATATATAATAAGTTTGATACAGATCAGCTGTCAATATATAGCTCTTTTATAACTTTTACCAATAAATAATTTTGATATTTGAATTAGAATTGATTTCGATGTACGACATAACCATATGAATACTTACCATCTGAACCATGTAAATAATAACACTGATCGTCATACGCGACTTCATTCTCTGGACAAGCTTGGATTGTTGTTGTTGAATTAATATGTTGTTCGTCTAAAAATAAAGTGTTATAACACGGTGTGTTATAACCACCCTCACGAACAGCTCATAGTGCATCTGTATTATTAAATGGACAAGTGTTAGTTGCTGGTGGATCTAGCAGTAATGGCCAATCTATGTTTAATTTAAACAGTTCTGGGTTATATGATGGTCATATTGAGCATGAAGATTGTTCATATTATTGATTATACCTTCATAGATGATTGATCACGTGTTATTGGCTCGCAGACAACCAACGCAAAATTAGACCATATTCAGGTGAGGGTGAACGAATTATTTTCATAATTCTCAAAATTCTCAAAATT